TGCGTATTGTAGGCATTGAGCAAGATAACTAAAGCAAGTTAATTAGACTTCAAGTGAATTGCCACTATGTTAATTCATATTTATAAGAACAGTAATTAAAATCCAACATGTTATAGCAGCATTTTATTATATCCAATACTAACATTTCCTTAGAAGTGATTTTAAAACTCTAGTTTAATGGATTAGTAAAAGTGCAGTAGGGTAACTGGGCATTTATTGTTAATAGAATCTAGATTACGAAGTGAATTTTTATTGTTTTTAAAGTCATTCACTGCACAGTTTTAATGATATAATAGTTGCATTCCGTTGGGAGTTCATTTGTAGCCACTTGGTGCCGCAAATGACTTTCTATATACATATTAAAATAAACACTGGTTTGACATCATTTCTCCAGTCTCACTTTATTTATTTAAGCAAGCATAATTAGCATGGTCTTTGGACCTGACTCCGAGCGCGGTGGGTGTGTGACACAAGAGGAGAGCTGAGGTTTTCCTCCTCAAACCACCATACCCGCTTGCCGAACGTCTCCCGCATTCGAACCAGGGCGAGGGTCCAAGGGGTGATTCTGCTTCCTTCACGAAAAAATAATTGGAGGAAGGATGGTGAGGTAAAAAAGGCGTGTGAAGTCAGGTCAGGCCCTTCCTCCCGCAGATTAACTGTGCTCCTGATCGCGTGCCAATTAGCGGAGAGAAAGGCGTTGCCCTGTTGATGCACGGTCCCAGCAGGGCTCCAACGGGTGATGAGGCCAGCGTGTGCCCGCAGAAACCAGGAGAAATCGCGTCCCTGGGCTTTTAACCAAGTCACCCTGAGGGGGCCGCTACCCTGCTGAGAGCCGCTGTAGAGTCCCCGAGCTGCGGGCTGGAGGGTCTCTCCTTGCCGCTCAGAGCTTGAGATGAACGAGGAGACACGGCCCCTCTGAAGCCGTCACCGCCGCACTCAGGAATGTCTTCCCGCTCCAGTTTTCCCAGCGAGGAAACCTGCGCAGCGCCGCACATGCCGCACTTCGCGGGGAATGGCTGCATGGCCCTGCTGATTGTCGGATGCCCAAATCGTCCCTCCGGAAAGATTTAGACTCCAGCTGCTGGAGCCCCGGTTCTGCGCACCCTCCGGGCACCGGGTGAGCGGACACCTGCCTCGCTTGGTCACGTTCACTCCCTGCACAGCCTGCAGCCAGCAAGGAATCAAAGGTGGAGACGACCCACCATCCAGCCCTGAAGAGGGGAAGGGGCAGAGGCGGACGCGTCCTTTCCACGCTGCCGTTGAAACCACAGGGCAGCCCCGGCCTCGTTTGGTCCAGTCCCGCTTTTCCCGTTTTCCTTCCATGGTGGAACCCCCAGCACGTCCCCTGGTAAACTGTGCCCCCCAGGACTTGCTTCCCGAGGAAATCAATTGCATCCACCCTGTGCTGCTTCGGGATCTCAGGTTCACCATGATCTTGTGGACATCACAGAGGCAATCACAGCCATGGCGTTTGTGTTTCCATTTTGAATACACACTTCATGAGTGGCTTAAATAAATGAAAACAGCAGCTGAATTTAAATTACAGGGTTAACAGAAGAGATTGAGTTTATAGGATTTAAAAGAACACTGATCTTGAAGGGCATTCGATAAGTGAGGAAATTTTACAATGAAAGATAATTAGATTAAGATCTTGAATATATTAGAAATCAGAGACACACATTTAGATGGTGGTCTCAAAAGAGAAGGAACATTTCCCTTCGCAGTCTTCAGTGTTTAAAAACTAGAGAAAGACCCCAGAGTAAAGTATGTTTTGCCTTTACAGCTTCTCATTGGATGACTCTTTGAGAAAAGACATCATGTTTTCTACAGGGAAAGAGGTTTGAGTAAATGAGGGAATTTCTCCTGTAGATGTTACTAGAGAGAAACATTCAAGCTCATTACCATTTATATGTAATGAAGTCATTCACTCAGCCTTTTAAATGGCCCTCCACTGAAGGAATCCCAGGATAACCAGCATGGAGCCAGGAAGAAAGCAATTGTGTGGGCTTTGTTTTTTCGTATTAATGACACTACTTTTGGAGATATCTCGTAGAAACTTTCCAAATATTTGAAAAAGAAAAATCTCTTGATAGATTTTTATAGCAGACTTTGTTGTAGAATTCAGATAGTTTCTAGAGAATTCTGCAACCATGAGCTCTCTTTGAGCCCTCCACTCTCCCCAGAGATATCTGGGGTGATGTCATCTTACTGAAGATGATATCAGTGCTTTTTAAACTATAGATATCACCTCAGTTCAGTTCAGTTACTCAGTCGTGTCTGACTCTGCAACCCCGTGGACTGCAGCATGCCAGGCCTCCTTGTCCATCACCAACTTCTGGAGCTTGCTCAAACTCATGTCCATTGAGTTGGTGATGCCATCCAACTATCTCATCTTCTGTTGTCCCCTTCTCCTCCCTCCTTCAACCTTTCCAGCATCAAGGACTTTTCAAATGAGTCAGTTCTTCGAATCAGGTGGCCAAAGTATTGCAGTTTCAGCTTCAGTATCAGTCCTTCCAATGAATATTTAGGACTGATTCCTTTAGGATGGACTGGTTGGATCTCCTTGCAGTCCAAGGGACTCTTAAGAGTCTTCTCCAACACCACAGTTCAAAAGCATCAATTCTTTGGTGCTCAGCTTTCTTTACGGTCCAACTCTCACAACCATACATGACTACTGGAAAAACCATAACTTTGCTATAAAAGTTTGCTATTTCTTCTAAGTATTTTTAGTCTGAATCTGGGAAAGATTGAAGGTGGGAAGAGAAGGGGACAACAGAGGATGAGATGGTTGGAAGGCATCACCGACTCGAGGGACACAAGTTTGAGAAAGCTCCCGGAGTTGGTGATGGACAGGGAAGCTTGGCGTGCTGCAGTCCACGGGGTCACAGAGTCGGACATGACTGAGTCACTGAACTGAACTGAAGTGATTTTTAGTCTGAGATTCAGAATGTTTCTATATTTAAACTTTTCTTCATTATATCTTCCTGGTGCCATTAAATCACAGCATTTCCTGATCCCCTTCTGCCAAATAGCATTTATTGCGATTTAGAAGTTGGAGATTAGCTAAAAGGCTGTAGATAAATTAGAAGTCTCTTTAATAAACTGCATTAAGTATAGTTACTGTCCTTTCTGTTCATGGAGGAGAAGTCTACTACCAGGATGCAAACTCATTTGTGTATTCACTTATTTTACTTCAGCAACAATATAAACTATGTCTTCAAACCTAAAATGGATGATGAGCTTTGAGATAAAGGATACCTGGCTACAGAACCTAGTTTCCCTCCCCTCTATTTTCTTTCTTTCCTACTTTCTTCTTTATATGTTTTTGTCAACACTGATAGATAATCCTAACACAAAATGTAAAACTGTATGCCTTCACTTATTCAACAAACATTTTTGAACATCTATTATATGCCCCAATATGTGTTAGAAATGTGGGATACATTTTTAGCTAAGCAGGCTTATCCCTTCCCTAAAGTAACTTAATAGAAAGGAAGAAAAAACTTTCTTCTACCTCCATAGGCTCTATGCCTGAACTTAAGAATTAAACTGACCTCAGACATTAACAAGATGAAAGCATACACATTTTATTTAATATTTTTTACATGGACAAGAGAGTCTTAAAAAGGAAAATGTAGACCCAAAGAAGCAGTTAAGGCCCCGAATCTTATACACTTTTAAAACAAAGAATGATAAATTGTGGGGCTGTGACAAGACAATTTAACTTGGGCCAGGGGTAGGAAAGAGTGGGCCAGGGACAAGGAAATACATGCAGGAAACTGATGGAAACTAAAGATTACTTTAGTAGTTTTCTACATACAAATCCGTTTCAGCATTGACTCCCATCAGGTGATAGAATGTTTTTCTCAGTCCAAGGAGATTGCTTTTCTCACGGAACTTTTATGACCGACTTTGAGGTAGACCAGGGAAGCTCAGAGACACCTTCCTGCATCTGCTGTTTCTCAAGAGCCTTCCGCTCAAAATAATCAATATGCCAGAGAAGCATATTTGGGGTGGCCCACCCTAAACTCCTCATTGACATAAAATGATGCCTGCCTTCAGAGAGTTCATCCCAGGTAGCAGGCATGCCTCAGCTGTGTCACATGCATTAGTTGCTGCATGAAGATGAGTTTGGGAACATCTCAGTTACACTTTCAGGATTCAGGAAACTCTCAACAAGAGAAAGAAATCCAGGCAAGGAAAGACCTTGCGTAGGGATCTGTAGGCTTAACGGTGAGATTCTGGAGCAGCAGGGTTAGGAGGCACTGAATTGTGTGCCTGCAAAGGGGAGACACAGGAAAAGAAGCAGGCATGTTAGCAAAAACCTCGATCAGCTCACCAACTTGCATTTCTTACTGAGGAGGCTGGGATGGAAACTGTGTCAGAGAGAGTAAATTGACCCAAACTGAAGATTTGGGATCCCCTCCTGTGAGGCAGAATTACTGCTAAAAAATGGTTTCCCTACCAACTATATTTTATTGTCTCTGTGAATCTAGATGGTGCTAGCTGCTGTGGTTCAGTCGCTCAGTCGTGTCCGACTCTTTGTGACCCCATGGACTTTTCAGCCCACCAGGCTCCTCTGCCCATGGGATTCTCCAGGCAAGAATCCTGGGGTGGGTTACCATTTCCTTCTCCAGGGCATCTTCCTGACCCAGGGATCAAACCTATGTCTCTTGCTTTGGCAGGCAGACTTTTTAACCACTGAGCTACCAGGGAGGCCCATGTGGTGAGTAGTGTTTACTAAGTGAGTGTGTCTGTCTCAGGTTGAGGGGATGTGAAATAAGGGTTAGTTTTCTCATCTCTTGGTTGAATAATGACATGCAGGGCACCCTTGGAAGCCCCATGAAGAAGAAGGAACCATTGCCAGCAACCTAGGTTTTGAATGACTAGATGAATCTTAGCCCCACTCTCTAACGAAGAACACCAACGCTGGACTGATACATAAGTGAAAAATCAGCTTTTACTCTAACATGCTCCGACTTTGAGGTAGACCAGGGAAGCTCAGAGACACCTTCCTGCATCTGCTGTTTCTCAAGAGCCTTCCGCTCAAAATAATCAATATGCCAGAGAAGCATATTTGGGGTGGCCCACCCTGAACTCCTCATTGACATAAAATGATGCCTGCCTTCAGAGAGTTCATCCCAGGTAGCAGGCATGCCTCAGCTGTGTCACATGCATTAGTTGTTGCATGAAGATGAGTTTGGGAACATCTCAGTTACACTTTCAGGATTCAGGAAACTCAACAGGAGAAAGAAATCCAGGCAAGGGATTGTGTAGGGATCTGTAGGCTTAACGGTGAGATTCTGGAGCAGCAGGGTTAGGAGGCACTGAATTGTGTGCCTGCAAAGGGGAGACACAGGAAAAGAAGCAGGCATGTTAGCAAAAACCTCGATCAGCTCACCAACTTGCATTTCTTACTGAGGAGGCTGGGATGGAAACTGTGTCAGAGAGAGTAAATTGACCCAAACTGAAGATTTGGGATCCCCTCCTGTGAGGCAGAATTACTGCTAAAAAATGGTTTCCCTACCAACTATATTTTATTGTCTCTGTGAATCTAGATGGTGCTAGCTGCTGTGGTTCAGTCGCTCAGTCGTGTCCGACTCTTTGTGACCCCATGGACTTTTCAGCCCACCAGGCTCCTCTGCCCATGGGATTCTCCAGGCAAGAATCCTGGGGTGGGTTACCATTTCCTTCTCCAGGGCATCTTCCTGACCCAGGGATCAAACCTATGTCTCTTGCTTTGGCAGGCAGACTTTTTAACCACTGAGCTACCAGGGAGGCCCATGTGGTGAGTAGTGTTTACTAAGTGAGTGTGTCTGTCTCAGGTTGAGGGGATGTGAAATAAGGGTTAGTTTTCTCATCTCTTGGTTGAATAATGACATGCAGGGCACCCTTGGAAGCCCCATGAAGAAGAAGGAACCATTGCCAGCAACCTAGGTTTTGAATGACTAGATGAATCTTAGCCCCACTCTCTAACGAAGAACACCAACGCTGGACTGATACATAAGTGAAAAATCAGCTTTTACTCTAACATGCAATGGGCATTTTCTATTTTATCACTGCAGCTTGTTTTACCCTAATTAATGCAAGGATAGGTGTGATATGATCAGTGTATATTTTTGAAAAGAGAAGATGCATTGTGTAGCCCCGAAGGTCACCGTGCTGGGAAATTGCAATAAGCTATTGGAAGGTAGGACTTGTATCAGGACTTTTATAGCTGAAGAAGATTACAGGATTGGGCAACATTTGGATGAATCATCCTACAAGAATTTCTCCTAGCTTCAGTAAATGATGTCTAGTTGGTCCCAAGTTTTAAAATATGAGTGGCAAGTTGTTAAAAACATAATACAAAAATATCCCTTTAACAATGAAATTTGTGGTACACTAAACATGCATATTAGATTTGAAGAACCCAAATATGATGACTAGAAGCAACTGTAAATATTACTTAACAATTCAAATATTGCAGTATTTGAAATGAAGGATTCTATTTTTAATGGGAAATCTGTATCTCATCATAAAAAGAAATACTTTTGGTCAACTTTCCTTCACATAAAGTGGCTCTTTCTTCACATGGATGTTAGCCATCTCATAAAGACAAGATTGCTATGATATATTTCAAGGAGGAGAGCCCAGAGACTTACAAATGCACACAGAGTGTAGCTTGAAGAGAGATGTTCCCTCTGCCAGGGTATAGGATGCCAGATCATGAATCCTGACAGAGCGGACATTGCAGATTGGAGTCTGGAAGGAGAGAAGTCAAGGAAACAAGCGCCAGTGTAGAACGAATGATGGGGATAATTAAGGCTATGAGTCAAGAAGGGTTTAGCTCTTGCAATGCAAATAAATCAGAAGCCCATTTGAAGCAAGGAAACAGTGTGCCTCTTGGAATTTGTCAAGTTCTTGCCTTTTTGATTTCCATGTAATTTAATGCTCTCTTCAGGAAGTATCTTCCTCTTGTAAGATACATAGAAAAAAAATATGGTAACTGCCAAAATATGAAAAGAGGCTTATACACACACCTAGCTGCCTTGAACTGGTTTTGAATTAAAACAATAAAAAAGACATCAATCATATTTCTCAATCAGTATTTAGCATATCATTACCAACCTTGGCAGGGATAAATGACACATTTTTAGGTGATGCTAATGAAGATGACATTTCCAGATGGCCAAAACTGGAAGTTTCTATTTGTAGAATAATCCCTGAATGAGACATTGGATTTCTGAGGGGGAGGTTTGCATCACTAAACTAGTGTATTGCTCCTTTAAAGGATTCATACATAAATTGATTAACCTATTTTTTCAAACTACACTTTAATATAATAATGTTTTTGTTTATTTTTTGATTTCATGATGGTTATTAGTTGTTTGTTTTTGACTTTTGTGGGAAGGGGAATTTTTCTCCTTTGTTATTCCACTGTTGACAGTGAAGCCAGTGATAGAAAATATAGTGTAGCATTCAGAGAATTGTTTCAGAATTTGAGTTTTCAAATTCCTTTATATGATTACAGTCATATTTTCACTTATTCTAAAAATAATATTTGCTTTTCTGATTATAAATTTACTATGTGTTCCATCTATAAAATTTAAATATGAGAAAAGTATAAAACATTAAAATATTTTAAAATTTAGTTGTCTTCTTTTTTATTCTTTTTCTACTTCTATGCATAGATAAGTTTGTTGTGCTTTTTCCTACAATGCTATATTATATGGCACTATGTCAAAAATATTCTTTGACAACAAAATTTTAATGGTTATATGATGATCCATCACATAGATGCATCATATATTTTTTAATGATCCTTTTTTCTGAATTTGTAAAATGTCCTCAAAATTGTGCTATTCCAAAACACACACACACAGGAGAGGAAAGACTTGACTTGAAAAATCCTTCTCATAAGATACAGTTTTTATTTCTAAGTAATATATGCTTCCCAGGTTGCTCAGCAGTAAAGAATCTGCATGTCAATGCAGGAGACACAGGTTCGATCTCTGGGTTGGGAAGACCCCCTGGAGAAGGAAATGGCAATGCACTCCAGTATCCTTGCCTGGGAAATCCCATGGACAGAGGAGCCTGGCAGGCTACAGTCCATGGGATGGCAAAGAGTTGGACATGACTGAGAGACTAAAAAACGACAGATAGACAGATAGATACATGTGTAAGTTATCTTCTTACCAAAGACTCCTAGAAATGAAGCTTCTATACCAGTGTGCGCAGCCCCTTTGGAAGGCTCTTGATTCATGTAACTAGATTGCCTCCAGGTTCCCTGCACCGAGTCACACTCCTGTCCGGGACCATGGTTATCTTACCAGTGGGCGCAGACCCTTTGGGAGGCTCCTGATTCGTGTACCTAGATTGACTCCAGATTCCTGCACCAAGTCACACTCCTGTCCGGGACCATGGTTATCTTACCAGTGTGTGCAGACTTTGGAAGTCTCCTGATGCATGTACCTAGATCACCTCCAGGTCACCTGCACCAGTCACACTGCTGTCCAGGACCATGGTTATCTCTGCCAGCCCAGCTCTGGTTATCATTACTGCTGCTAACCTGTATCCAGTTGAGAGGCAAAAAAAATGGGGTCTTACTGTATGCATCATGTTATTTTCACTTCTCTATCTACAAAGGAGAATGACTTTCTGTTCATTTAATTTGGATTTAAATTCTTCCTTTCATGTATTGCCTTTCTAAACCTTTGCATAGCATTGTTCTTAAGATACTGATTTAAAGTAATAATGTTTTTAGAAATAAATATTCTAACACCTTTTCTTGTTAATGTTTACTACTTTTGTCTATATATCTTATAATTATTCTGTGGACATATATAAATTCTTGAACTTAAAAGCTTGTCTCCCAATTCTTAAACTTATACTTTGCTAAAAAAATTTTTAGCAATGATGTAATCATTTAAAGGCTTACCTCCAATTATTTTGAATTTTTTAAATTATTTTTATAGTTAAATCTGTAATTTCTGAATTTATTTTGATGCATTTTAGTTGATCAACATTTAAGTTGTGTTGTACTTTCAAAAGCTGTTGGAGAGGGAGAGTTTATAAAATAAATTTTAGTCTATAAACTGATTATATATGCTTTAATAAATAAACACTTTATTTTACTGCTTTCTCAATAAGACATTGACAGTCACAAGCATTAGACAATATTTTCTTTATTGGAGTATGATTGATTTAATATTTTATTAGTTTCAGGAATACAACATAGTGGTCCAATGCTATGGTTTCTCCAGTAGTCATGTACAGATGTGAGAGTTAGATCATAAAGAGAGTGGAGCACTGAAGAATTGATGCTTTCAAATCATGGTGCTGGAGAAGATTCTTTAGAGTTCCTTGGACTGAAAGGAGATCCAGCCAGTCCATCCTAAAGGAAATCAACACTGGATATTCACTGGAAGGACTGATGCTGAAGCTGAAGCTCCAACACTTTGGCCACCTGATACAAACTGCAAGCTCATTGGAAAAGACCCTGATACTGAGAAGATTGAAGGCAAAGGAGAAATGTGCAACAGAGAATGAGATGATTAGATGGCATCTCCGACTCAATGAATGGGTGCAAACTCCGGGAGACAGTAAAGGAGAGGGAAGCCTGGCGTGCTGCAGTTCATGGCGTCACAAAGAATCAGACATGACTTAGTGACTGAACAACAACACTCCATTTACAGTTATTATAAAACTGTTACTGTTCAGTCACTCAGCCATGAAATTACAAAGTATTGGTTGCATTATATTGCCTGTAAAGTGTTGTCTGTATTCCTCATGCTGTACTATTGTTCCATATAGATTATTTATTTTACAGGGCTTCCCCTTTTGCTCAGAGGGGAAAGTATCTGCCTGCAATGCAGGAGACCCATGTTTGATCCTCGGTTGGGAAGATCCCCTGGAGGAGGAAATGGCAACCCACTCCACTATTCTCGCCTGGGAAGCCCCATGGACAGAGGAGCCTGGTGACTACAGGCCACGGAGTCACAAGAGTCAGACACAGCTGAGCAACTAAACAGCAGTGTGTATTTTCTAGCCCCATGCCACCCTCTTACCTTCCCTGCCTTCTTCTCCCCACTGATAACCACTAGTTTCTTCTCAGTATCTGTGAGTTTATTTGTTTTGCCATAGTTGCTTTTACTTTTTATGTTCCCACATATAAATGATAATGTGGAGTATTTATCTTTCTCTATCTGACTTATTTCACTAAGCATAACCACCACCCTGAATGTGCCAATCTCATCTGACCTGGCAAGCTAAGCAGACTTGGGCCTGCTTAGGTCTTGGATGGCGCACCCTTTTGGATGATGTGGATGTTAAAACATACATATATAAGTATGTAAATATAACTACACAGATATACAAACATATATCTGCTGGTCAAAATTTACAGGAAAAGGAATATTCTAGCATTTATTGGAATATCTCTATTCCTTCACTGTGTTGATGTGTCACATAGCATATATAATAGCATATATTACACATTACACATTTTCTGATCTAGTTCAGAACTACTTGTGTTAGCTCACAGATCTCTATATCCCATGCTATACCAATAAATCATTCACTGAATTTTTGGACTTTTATAATAGATGTGTTAATATTTTATATATATCTGATCATGGAAGTGTCTTATTTCCCTTTTTCAAAATAGTTTCTTCAAAAGTTTCTGAATAACTTAAAATTATTTTGTCCAATTTCAAATAGTTTTCCATTGAGATTTTTAATGAGGTTCAATCAATATAGGATGTATTTTTAAACATAAATAATACCTTTTCAAAACTCAATCTTTCCATNGTTAATATTTTATATATATCTGATCATGGAAGTGTCTTATTTCCCTTTTTCAAAATAGTTTCTTCAAAAGTTTCTGAATAACTTAAAATTATTTTGTCCAATTTCAAATAGTTTTCCATTGAGATTTTTAATGAGGTTCAATCAATATAGGATGTATTTTTAAACATAAATAATACCTTTTCAAAACTCATTCTTTCCATCCAGGAAAATCTGTGTGTATTAATTTTTCATAGTACTTAGAAAGTGTTATAGCTTTGTCATTTCTCATTAGAATTCATTATTTACACACATTTTACTATTCCTATTGTTTTATTAAAGAAAACTTCACTCTATTCTATGTTCAAACTGGCATTACAAACATTTAGGTACTCTCTTGCTTCTTCATTTAGTTGTTTTGTTGGATCTTTTTATTAAATTATTGTAATTAATCTATTACAGTGAATCCTCTAGATACTTTTCAAAAAATGAATATGATGACATCAAGCCTCCTGTTTCATTCTTTCCAATAGGTTTCAGATAAGTCAGTTGAGTTGCTCAGTCGTGTCCAAGTCTTTACAACCCATGGAGTGCAACACACCAGGCCTCCCTGTCCATCACCAATTCCTGGCGTTACTCCAACTCATGTCCACTGAGTCAGTGATGCCATCCAGCCATCTCATCCTCTGTTGTCCCCTTCTCCTTTCACCTTCAATCTTTCCCAACATCAGGGTCTTTTCCTGTGTGCAGCGGGTGAGAAGCCACCACCACTTTGAACTCACGTTCCTCCAGTGAGATTTTTTTCAGAACCTCTGTTTCCAAATTCCTCCTTTCCTCTGTAGAACAACTGGTATCACTTGTTCTCATGATTTGTCTATGGTTCACCATACTTGCTTGTCTCCAGTGAAATCCCTCTGCTATTCCCCAAACTCATTTATCTTCTTCAATAAAACTGCTCTTCGCTCTGTTTAAACCTGGCATTATCATTAAAGACTTATAGTGCATTTTTGCAGCTAAAGAGCTGAGAAATCCTACAGTTGAAAAAGTTGTTTTTGTTTTGCTCCATTTTCAAACAGATCAGAGAATTTTTCACGGCATTTTAGTGAAAAACCATTAAAACTTACGTTTCATTGAACAGAATCAGTCATTATTCATGTGAAACTCCTGGGTAGGAGAAGTACTCCGCCCTAGGTGCAAGCCGTGAGGGACGCCCGGCAGTGGGTTGTGGGATCATGCGGTAGCTCGGCTTTTAATTTTTTAAGTTGTCCACAGTGGCTATAAAAGAAAGGGAGAGAGAGAAGGGGAGGGAGGGAGGAAGAGAGGAAGAAACTTGAGGAAACAACCAAGCACATCCCGCTGGGCCTAATGCCATCACGCATCCTTATAAGAGCGAGGTGGCGGGAGAAACAGGAAGGAAAGCGGAAGTGAACGCAAAGGCGGAAACGGAAATGATGCAAACGGAAATGATGCAGCCAGGAGTCCTTGAATGCCTGCGGCTGGGGCAAGACTGAGCTGCCTGTTAGAGCCTTCGGAGGGAGCTTGGTCCTGCCAACCCCGTGATTCTGCCCTCCAGAACCATGAAAGCAAATATTTCTGTTGTCGGAAGCCAACCAATTTGCTGTCGTTTGTTACAGGAGCCAGAGAAAACTAACGCAAGAACCGCAGTCAGATTCCCAGGTAAGCAGCTCTGAAAGGCCTACTTTTTCATTTAAATAAATAAACCCACATTTGTGCCAGGTCTGGAGTACCAAATCTTTTTCTTATATTCATGGATTTCTTTTTCACTTATCAAGTCTCTTGTATATATTGCTGGTGCCACACAAATGAACTTTACTGGGTTTTCCTTTTTCAGTGATTGTCTTATGTGTATTGATTTTCCTTTAGTGATCACCCTATAGGGCCCTTTGAACAGAGCACACTTTGATAAAAGTGCAAAAAAAACTTGATTAAACTAGTATATTCTTTGGCGTCATAGCAACCACTGAGTAAATAAGTGGTCTGGCTTGCTGAATTGGACACACTTATAATTCAAACTGCAAATTGACTGCAAATATTTTTTAACAACTGATATTTACAAAAAGAACATACATTATATATACAAATATTATACATTAGAGTAAATGCTGATCTTGAAACATGTTTATAATTACGAGAGAGAAAAACTTTTATCAGCCAAGTTATAAATCATTTCTGCATGATGAAGTTGTCAAAATCAGATTCAAATATCATTTTTGAGTCTAGTACTTTCTTTGAAAGCTAAATACAAGAAAAAAAAAAAATCCATCAGTGATAACTTGGCTTTGGGTATACCTAGATGTGAGACATCTATTTTTGCTGTAGTCCAGATGTTGCCATCTGTTTTCTATATCTTAACAGATCTAACTGTTTACGAATCAATGGTCACGAGAAATACAAGAGGCATTTCCTGGAAAAGAAGATTGTTTCTGGGCCTTAGATTGAGCCACATTAGTAGGAAAAAGCCCAAGGGCAGGCGTGGGATGAGAGTGGAGAGTTAATCAGCTCAAAGGAACAATGCCCTCACAAATAAACTGAAATGATTCGGGCATACAGAGTAATGTCTGATAGATATTTTGGTGACCTAGTGAGTCCAGCACAGGCTGAATAGGTAGAAAACCAAGGATCTCGAAAGATAATACTAGTACCCTTTTTTCCTTGAAAGCAAGTGTCTGTGCCACTCGATCAAACTGACTCCAGATCTGTTCATCTAATTTGCTGCTAGACCTACTGTGAGTGTATACCCTTGTCCTAAAGCTGGGGCTCCTGTGTTGTCTTTGTTTGCCGGTGTGAAATAAAAGAATGCATATCCTTTTTCTTTCTCTCTGTAATATACGCATGTGTGTGTGTGTGTGTGTGTGTGTGTGTAAAATCTGACCCTGGTTCCCGGAACAAAGCTCCTGGAGCCTGAGGAACTCCCTCAGTGTGAAGAGCATGGGGAGCGTCGTCTGTTCTAACACGTGGTCTTCGGCCCTGATTTCTGACCGAGCTTCTGCGCCCCTTGAAGTCAGTCCCCCGGGTGCTCGGAGAGTCTGTGCCTCTAATGAGGTGGCACGAGCTGGCCTCCAGGGTGGGATCTGGTCACCAGAGAAACCAAGCCATGACTAGATGCTTTGATTTTCAGCCCTAGGCCCCATTCCCCAGAGAGAGGAGAGGGCCTAGAAATTGACTTCATTTTAAATCATGCCTCCATAAAAACCCCCAAAGTATACAATTTCTGGATTGCTGTGCAGATCTAGTGTCAGACGTAGTGTGAGTGTGATCATAGAGGAAAAACACCAGGGCGAGTGTGCTCTTCCCCACAGCCTGCCCAGCAGCAGGCGTGTCTCTGTGTGCATGATAGAGTATGTTTATGTATGTTTGCATTTGCAGCTTCTATAAATAAACATCAGCCTGTGTCAAGGATGTCAAGAATTTATTGACACATTGGTAAGGGAAAGTGTTAATTCTTTTTGAAAGTTACATGTCGGTTTGCAGATTAAAAGTTCTCATACACCATTATTGTGTTCTTTCCAACAAATCAGGAAAACAAATGTATTCCTGAGTCATTCCATGTCTCAAATGTGATCACTTCTCCTAACGTCATGAAACTGGTAAATGGCTGAAAGAACCACCGAAAGCCCCAGGAGTTCAGGAGGCCTACCCGGACCCGCACTCTCTGTCCTCACCCCAAATCCCATGCTCTCAGAGATATAAAAGCTCTACTTTTTATCAATCTTATCATTTCACTGTTCCCCTCATACCCCACTGAAGCCAAATTGGGCCTCTAGAGCCCAAGGCTGAATTAATTCCTGGGACAGAATTTTGATAAAGTAGAAAAGTTTCACTGTTTTGCCAGGCACAGGGGGACACAGCAGGCCAGAGCCCTCAGTGTCGCGCCCGGGAGATGGCGGTGGGGTGTCTCACGGTGTCAGGGAGCAGGAGTGACCAGCTCATGGACATTCTCCGGGTGATTCGGTGCTGAGGTCAGTAGGCCTCGGAATCATCAATCTCCTGCTTCTGAGCAGTCTGGGCTCTACATGCTTGTGGAGAGCGAACAGTTCACTTCTCCCACTTGGCGGGGGTTTTGATGTCTACACTCTGCCTCAAAGGTGCTGTGTGAGTACCCGTGAGGGGGAACCAGGCCCTGCCCCAAGACTGCACTGCTCTTCCCTGATTGCCGCTCCCTGTGCCCACGTCCCCTCCTGTCCTGACTAGCAGCTGTTTGAACTTGCTTAGCGCTCAGGCTTGCCTTGTGGCTCAGCTGGTAAAGAATCCACCTGCAATGCAGCAGACCTGGGTTCGATCCCTGGATTGGGAAGATCCTCTGGAGAAGGGAAAGGCTGCCCACTCCAGTATTCTTGCCTGGAGAGTCAGACATGACTGAGTGATTTCACTTTCACTTAATCATTCATAGATCACTTGTTGTTTACATTATCACATTACACTTTCTGCACAGTGCTTTGAATTGGATGTTAATTCTATCTCCATTTTAAGTCTTACGTTAGCAACAGTAAATTATTCAGAATTGTATTTAGAAAATAGTATATGCCGTGCTAAAATATAGGTCCTTTGGCTGTCTTTTTCTTTCTGATCTGAGAAGCTTCTATATTTAACTTATATACAAATTTCCCTTACTGAATGGAGAAGAAATAAGAGCTAAAATGTATAATGAATAGGAAAGGTAGAAGAATATACCTTCTTTAGTGAATAATGTTCAACCTGACCTTTCTGTAAAATCCATTCCCATTTTCCACAGCATCCACTCTCTGGATCTGAAAATCAGCTCTGAAATACCTGACTTAAAAAAATGATAGTGAACTAGCAATGTATTAGAAAATAAGCAGAGTGTAATTCTACAAATTGAGAAGGAAAGGAACTTTGCTAAACACCATGAGGCTTAGACCACAGACTAGTCCCTTTTTATCCATGGTTTCACTTTCTCTGGTTTCTATTACCTGGGTTCATCCAAGGTCCAGAAATACTAAATGGAAAGTTCCAGAAATAAATAATACATTTTAAACTGCGTGCTGTTCTGAGTACTGTGATGAAACCTCCTGCCATTCTGCTCTGTCTCACCTGAGTTCTCCAACCATTGACATCATCCACTCCTGACATCCAGCCATCAACTTTGTCACAGTTCAGTGGTCCAGGATCACCAAAATCAAGTGATTCCTCTTCTGACAAATCATCAGAAGGTCAGTAATAGCCTAATATAGTGATCAAAATGCCTCCATCATTCATTTCACTTCATCTCACCAAGTGGGTACACCATCATCGTAAGAAGGTGGGGAAAATGGTACAACAGGATATTTTGAGAAAAAGAGACCACATTCACATAGCTTTTATTACAGCATATGTTATAATTGTTCTATTTTATTCCTATCTCTTGTTGTTAATCTCTGACTGTGCTTAATTATAAGCTAAACTGTCTCATAGGTGTATTTATAGGAAAAAAACAGTAGGGAGCCATTTTCCACATTTTCTTTCATCACTACCTTGCTGAATTATTGACTCCAGTTGTTCAATATCTTAAAATATAACTTAATTTTTGAGTACCTAATATTAAAAAGACACATGCTGACTATGTATTTATTTCCTCAAAAAAGAACAAATGCATAGCTATAACATATCAGTCAATAAATCTGTTGTTTAGGAGACTGAGGTAAAAGAAATGTTAACATTATTTGCTTTCAGGGAGCTTACATACTACCAATGTATATACCAAATATATGTATACTACTATGCATATATTTATAATATAGACTGGGGTTATAATAACTGAGTTATGGGCAATTTGGTAGCAACCAAGTGAGAAATAATTATCTCCAACTATAATTGTTGAAGAAGGCTTCACATAACAATCAAATTGATCTTAAATTTTAGCTTGAAGCTTGTCATATAAAGAAAGGGTGTGGAATGAGGCGTTTCAGGCACGTGGGTAGAAACAGCTATGTGGGAAAAACAGGGTGTGATTGAGAGTGGAACATTCAATGAGCTGTGACTTTTCTAATATTGGCTGCGTTGAGCCAGAGGCAGAGTTCCCAAAACAGAAAAATGACTAGCCAATAAAACAAAGTCGAGTTTATTGCTTAGCTCAGGAAGAGGTATTCTTCCCCAGTAGTAGTCATGGACAGAGTGAAAAGCAAGTTTGGATTATTTATTGAGATTTTAAAATCAAGTTTAAGGTCTTTAAATATGAGAGTTGTAATTACATATAATTTTGGATTTGTACACAGCAGCAAGGCAAGTATTTTGAAGCAAGAGGTTAAGAAAGTCTTAAAGTACAAACTATCATTTGATCCTTTCAATTGAAGAGTTGATGGATCTTTCAGGAGCTGCCTGGAATGAAATGCAGTTATCTGCAACTTTTAAAGTCATGTTAATATAGGCAGTAAGC